TTGACAAAACGTGCACTTGTTCTGATGCCAGTCACGTAATAGTACGTTTCTTTAAAAAAATAGTCCTAGCTATTTCTATGTAATTTGATATTCAACGAGAGAAATAAACGCTCTAAGGAAACACTAAAAGATAACTATTCGGCTCCATACATTTACTACCAATATGAAAATTCCCCACCTATCACAATTGCAATGCGTAGACCTGATCGTCTTACGCGTTGTCATGTACGTTAGCACCCAATTCAAATCCTGTGGGAAAAAAACTTTTGTTTCTAAGAATTCTATCGTGACTTGAAAACGCAACGAACAATAACAAAACTTACTCCCGGGTGGTTGTAATTGAGTAGAAACGTTTATAGCAGCGCGTTAGCCGATTTAGGTCTATTTCCTGCAAACATCGTATGTGTTAAAAGCGACATCGATATATTATGTGGGATCCCTGTGTTTTGTTAGAGTTTCTTTCACCTAAACGTCAAAGCCATCTTGTCGAAACACTTCGATCTCGTCTGGCTGAAACTGGTACGATCCTGCAAGAAGGTTCTTTGCTTTAGTTGATCCATATGTGTAGCCCTCAATCAGTACATATTTAGTACCAAGGTCCGTAAAGGAGTTTGTGTTGCTACCAGCATTATCGCTAATATATATGTCATTGGTTCCAAAGACTGGTCCGTAGCTGCTACCTCCATAAATTGCACTCTGCGATTTGAAAACTTTCATTTTAAATGGCTTCAAGTTATCTTTGTTTACGAATGAAAACAGGAACGAGTCGACTGAGTTGCTGTAAGAATCTTTGGTATCTTTAAAAAAGAAAACAATTATAATACGTTATTGTGAGCATAAAAAAGCTGTACCAATGTGATGGATGTTCTGTGTTAATCCCCGAATATAGCAAAGATCAACAACTGGAATACTTACGCCAGCTGACGTCTGTATAGCCTCCAAATATGTATTTGTTCACTTTGATGATTGTAATAGTCGGGCCTTTACCATCGCACTTTGCGTGGAATGTTCTGCTGGCCCATCCGTGATGTCTGCTTTGGTAGCATGGTACCCATCTTATTGGCATGCTCGTCACTGGAGCCAGCCATTTTGTCATTAATTCATAATAGTCATCCCGATTTTTTAGGATGTTTGAATACAATGTATGAAAAAGACGGCGACCTGTGAGACAGAAAATCTGATCACTTATTGAGAAGCGTTAATTTAAGTAAAACTACTGCAGAAAGATACTCTTTTAGATTGACGTAAGATGAAAATGCGCGATTACAAAAACGGCACGTTAGATATAAATTTGGACAAAATGCATGTCAATTGTAAAATAGCAGCATTACCTGATAAAAAACGGTTATAAAATGCAGCGACTTTATTTCATTTTTTATTTTTTCCATGTTGCAGTTTAGCCTGAATTCCAAGGGACCCATAATCCAGAGTTCCAAGGTTTGGTCCTCTACTCGAGCACGTCTAGAAAATTCTTTTTTTTTTTCATTCTTTCTTTCTTTTTTTTAACTGAAATGTAGGTTTTCTAGACATTATTTTATCGTATCAATTTGCTTTATTAATATTTAAGAGCCGCGTTTGTTAAATTTTTGAAACAAGATGATACTCGAACAGCGGTGTCGAACAGAGGATCGAGGGTTCAAATCTCGTCTTATTTTCTAGCGATTGTTTTGATTTCACACAGAATATTATACTCGAATAAGCCATTTGCATGATGGCGCAACTTTACTACAGCTACCAGAGAGACTTGCGCATTTTCATTGTTCTTCAGATTTTTAATCCACTTAGCGATTAGTAAAACAAGTGGCAATAATTGTGGGCAAAGCATTCTGGTTGTTGTAGTTAACGACGCCATAATGCAAATCGCGTATAGCGTCGACCTTAGGATCGCGGCCTTGATTCTCGATTCATTATTTTCCTTTATTTCTTTCTTTTTAACTGAAATGAAGTTGTTATAGTCATGTTGGTTTTTGTGTAGATATTCCTTCAACAATTATTTTCGAGCCGTTATTTTGATTTTTCACAGACTATCATACTCAAATAGCGTCGAACTTAGAATCGCCGGTTCGACTCTCGACTCGATCTCTTCTAAGCGATTCTTTTTTAAGAGCGTACAAAGTACAGAGGATATTGAATACAGAAGGCCGGCAAGTAAAAGCTGTGAGATTGAACTGTGGACTAAGGACTATAGATCAAACAAACAAAATTGTAAGGAAAAAAAAATTCTTTTCATATAATATATATTCTATTTAGAATTAGTTGTTGCCTTGTTTAAATATCTAAGTATAAATACGTCAAATCACGGGTATAGTGTGTAAGAACTGGCTGCTAGAATGAGCAGCAGTTGATATTAACAAAGAAAACCTCACAAACAAATTCAAAATAGAACAATAAAAAAGAGAAACACCGGAGCTTTTTTCAAAAATTAAAGTTACAATTAAGCCTAAAAGCGTATTGTGGTGTTCGTCCTAAACATCCCTCTCCATCCGTTTCTTTCAATCATCTAAATTGAAGTGTAACTTTAAGGAAAAGAATTCTTATTCCTAACATTAATTTTATTTCCCACCTTCTAAGTTTTAATGAAAAACTCGGGTATATGAATAGTTATGTGTTGCAAAA